GGCCACAGAGGGTAAAGGAGTTTGGAAAGGAGGTTGTAAAGCATCATAGGGAGTCATTCACAATTCATCAATTCACAATCAGTCACTAGTTTACAATCACCACTCATCCTGATTTTTTATAGATATAGACTAAAATAACGGCTTTATTATTTTATTCTTTAAAGACTTTAAGAGTTCTACTTTCATCATTTTCGCGCAGGCTGGTCTCGAACTCGCTAATTTACAACTTTAATCTCAAATGTATTTTTTTTTTTTTTTTAACGTGGCCCTAATCCTCTGTCGTACAAAGTCTTAATATCTAAAGTTTTTTCTACACAGATATTTCCAAGAACAACAAACCTCTACACTCACATGCTCTTAATGGGTGTTAGATGAATCAAAAATGCCTGTTTAATAGTTTGCTTTAAATAAAGAGAAAATACATTTTTAAATAATGTAGCAATAATTTCATTATTTAAAATTAGAAAAGTAGCCTGGGGCCATATTCACAAAGCCTCCTAAGTACTAAGAGTCGCTCCTAGTGACAAAATTCTAAGAACATTCTTACAATCAGGACATTTTCTAAGAATGTCCCCTCAAAGTTAGGACTAGATCTTTGTAAAGATAAATGTTATTCACCAAGTGTCTTAAGAGAGCTCCTAAGGTGATAAACTGTTAGGAGTAGTGGAGAGGACTTTTAACAGGATGAAGAGTTTCTCAAGTTGAGGAGGAAATGGATAAATGTTCTCCAAACACTACATAACAAATTATTTTTGACTCATAGTCGGGTCGAACAGACACAATTATTTGTGTGGACATTTCAATTCATCTACGACCTTTATTCAGTACAAAGTGTGACATGTTGAGTTTCTCTACGTGTGGTTACCTCCACAGGTGAATCCAATCACTAATTAAGGCTCTTTATCTGCTGATGTAATGATCAGCATGTGAAGAAGCTGCTGCAGCATGTGATTTCAAACACCTTGTAGGCTATATACTTTTAAAGTACATCTTACAAATGATAATGCGATCCAGGGTTTTACAAATCATCTCAGAGTGCAAAATGAGCCATAACAACATTTTAAAAGTCTTTTTAAGCTTTTCAGAGATCAATAAAGCAACGTGTCTGTTTCAAACTAGACATATCACTCATTTTGGGTTTTTAACTAAAGTAAACTCGGAACATGCATAAGTAGTAAAAGTACAGGTTGATGAATTCATTAATTCTTTGCGTGCAAATGTTCTTACACTCTCTAAGATCTATGCGTATGAACTGTTGATAAATTAGGCCCCAGGATTCTAGAAGTCAATCATATAGTACTATACCAGCAACACTGTGAAATATTTATTGGCAATTGCTCAACAATGAATCATGTTTATTTCAGATGCTTATCGGGACAAATGCAGTGACAGGTACATAACACAGAACTCAGGATTTCTCGACTTCATGCGTGCAGGTGATGACTGATCGTGGTTTTAGTAAGAAAAACTTGCTGGAGGAACGAAGCGTGAACTTGTGATTGAAAATGTGATTAATCATAACAATTTAAATTTTAATGGATTTACGTACATTAGATTTATCTGAAAATGCCTCAGCGAAAGTTTTGCTTCTTATTTCTCTGGTTCTTCTGGCAGCCTTCTGTTGTTTTACCCCAATCTACTTCTCAAACTCCCCTGACAGGGTCTTAGGTGTCGGGTTTGAATTCAGTGGGCAACGCTCAAAAAGTGACAAAGAGACATTTAGAGGCCCACTACATTATTGATGACACCAGATGTGCTGTCACTTCACACCCTCATCGCTCTCCATTTCAGGCTGTTGCCCTTTCTGCCAACCCCCTCCAGAGCACTTGTTAATTGTCTTAAGACCTTCACAGCTAGTCTCTCCATACTTTCTCTCCAGTTGCTGGCACCTAACCCCTGCTCTTTGATGGTGTCCAATTAATTGGTCAATTGTAAAGAGATTTTTGAATGTGTGAGAATAAGTGTTGAATCCTGCTCAGTGAACCTTTAGTCATTTTTAAGTCCCTTATACACGTGAATATTAAGCAAAATTATCACCATCGTGAAAAACAATTTACAGGCTTCATATTTAAACTAACTAAATGGAACTAGGGGTTTCATGTTATCAACTCCTATTTTTTGAAGGGGGGCTTTTTATGTCTATATTACATAGACAGGACAGTAGATAGAGTTGAGAGTGGGGAAAACCTTGGGAAAAGAGCCATAGGTCTGATATAAAACCAGGCCATCCGCTTTAAGGACTACAGCCTCCCATGTACAGACATGGGGGGCGCAAACAAACTATTAGGCCAAAGGTGCTCCCACAGGTCAGAGTTTTTTTTGGCCAATTGCCCAAAATAAACCATCAAAACTTCCAAATACAGAGCCCAATCTTCTCCAACTTTTGCATGTATGATAAGTGTTACCAGTGAATGTCTATAGTCAAAGTCAGAGCCTTTGTAAAAGAGATTCGCGACATCCCCGTTCACTCAAATAGAACATCTTTTTTACAGCAATGGCGGTTCGAGGAGCTTCTCCATAGTTCCCAGACAATAGCAGTTGACGTTAGCAGCCCAATGGCGCACTAAAGGTAAAACGATTAAATAATCAGATTGCATATTATCAGCCAAAGATATATTTCTACCTTTTGCAAGCAAAAAGTGGACAAAGTTGTTTTGAATTTGAATATACTATGCATTCATGCATTTACTGATAAGTACAGGGATTCGTACAAATTGCTACCAGAAAGATGTATTTTATTCTAATCATGCTGCTGATGGCTAATCCTTGGACCTGTAGTGCTGTCAGTTAACATTTATTGACAGTCACGTGTACGTTTCCTTCTGTCCTATCTGATAGTCAGAAAGATTATATTAAATCATCAAGATTACTTAGGCCCTCAGTTACCATGGGATTACTGAAATGTGAGAAAATAATCTAATGTGAATTTTTGAACATCCTCCTTCTAATTATAACAATAAACACAAGGATGTGATTGCTCTAACCATAAATGTTTAACAACTTAATAAATTAAACAAATTCAAAGCAATAAATATTATCATGCTAGATTTCTTCAAATTTTACGTTTAAAAAAGACGCATTCACGTAACTACGTATACATAAGTCATATAAACACATACACATGTCGGTGTACTGTAAAAATATTAATAGGGTAAATCAATGCAAATATTGACTACAAATTCAATCTCAGTTCTGTCTCTGTGTAATTCATTCAAATTGCCCGCCAAAACTTCTGGTACCTATCTGAATCGGATAATGATCAATCACTCTGAAATACAGTTTTCGCGAGTCTCTCTTTCAACAGCTTTGGTCATAGCGCCCCCCTACTGACAGCAGGAAGTTCCTGCTCCTGCTTACTTACTATTCATACAAGGGTTTTCATATCCCCTTAAAAATGTGTTTGGAACATGCAAATTATTTTTGCTATACTACCTTGTGTGTCAAAGGTCCATGTCCAAAGCCTTGGCCATAGCAAAAAAATTTCGTCATTAAACAGGAATTTGTTTTGTTAGGGGCTTAAAACTTCTGTACAACCAGGAAACTTGATCAATAACCTTCAGCAAAAGGAGAGGATGGAGGGCCCCTACAATATTTAAAAATTCAGTTCCCACAGCACAATCAACCTGGGATTCTGGGATCATGCCAGGACCTACAGAAAAGCCTCTTGACCCATATTGCCAACTCGACATCAAGTCAGCAATTTTGAGCTTTTGCTTTTAAAAAATGGGTCAAAGTAGCAAAGGTGTGAGGGCCGGTTCAGCAACCTGGGGCCGTATTCAAGTACCTCCTAAGTACGAGTAAGAGTTGCTCCTAGTGACAAAATTCTTAGAATCATGACATTATCTTAGAATTTCCTCTAAAAGTTAAGACTAGATCTGTGTGAAGATGAAAGTTATTCACAACAGGAGAATGTTGTGTGACAAGGGATACTTTCATGGCTGTTCCTGAGGCTCTGCCAAGAGGTTCCAAGGGCGAACTCCAGCCCAGGCAATAGAACACAATGCGAGGTGTCAACTGATGACGAAGTCTTTCCCTTAGTTAGTACTTCTGTACTAGGAATGAATAATATGACCTTATTGACAGGTTTAAAAATGCTGTGTACTGGCTTAAATTAGTAAAAGAGATCACATCACTTAACTCCTTTGCACTGGCTCTTTTATCGGGTAGGTTCCTCTGGATCGTTGCTACAAACGGCCTGCTGCTGTTGACCTGCCAGACTCTGATAGCTACAACCATCAGACATCTATTATTGTCAGACATCTATTATCATTTGTTATATGAATCTAGAGCTGCTAGACTTTAAGTGCTATAATTAATATTATCAGTCCATTTTATTGTCATTGTAGTCAATGCTAGAATGGAGAGTCAAATTTCATTCACTTTGTTTCCTGCTACTAGCATACATACATCATTTACTAGCATTGTAATCATAAATCTGTTTCATGCGTTGTTGTTAATGTTGTTTATTTGTCCTCTCTCCAATCCCAAAACATCCACAGCAGGTAACTGTTTAACAAAAGTCTGGTTCTGCTTAAGTACTTACTTTGCATAGTGCTTTGCAAGTTTGGTCTGTAAATTATAGAATGGTCTACTCTAGACCTACTCTTTTTTGAAGAGTGTCTTCAGATAACATTTAGTTAATGCATTGGCACTACGCAAGTAAAGATGAATTGAAAAAGAATCAGTGGTTACTGAGTGGAGTGTCTTTAAGTAGAATAGTTTGTTTTTAAAGCTGCCACTGGATCTGAATCTTGGCTTTCGCAGAAAAAGCTATCTTCCCAAAGGCAGTGAGAAGGAAGGATACAGGACAATCTTTTGTCAAAGATATTCTGGGGATTTTATTCTGACTTACTTAATTAAAAGAAATGTATGTATATTTTCATACATTTATTAAGTTACAACTGACACCACTATATAGATATATATAAAAATAAAATAAAACATTTGGTTCAGAAAGCTGTAAGCATAAAAGCCTGAAGCAAAAAAAACCAATCAAAACATCTGAAGCCAGGCATCACTTTTATTATTTAAATGAAAACACAAGACACATCAGTCAACAGTTGAATATCATAAAAAAAAAAAAAAGATAAGAAAATAGAACCAAGAAAGGTTAAGACTGGTGCATATAGACTTAGTTATTTCCCAGTAATCAGAGGATTTCTCAGTACGATTATGACAGAATCACCCCTCAGGAACATTTTAGAAATGTAGCGATCCTTATTCACTGGCTTTGACTTCTTCTTTCCCTTCCCACTCTTGGGAACTTCTGTCCACATCTCCTTCACATTCTCCAAGACCATGTTGCAGTGCCTGCATTGACAGTAAGAAAGAAGGGGAAAAAAATATATATATAATAATGATTGGGTTTACAAGTCTTGTATACACAGGTGTATGTTAATGTGTATTATATATATATATATATATATATATATATATATATGTAAATTGTACATATAGTAGCCTATATCAAAGTGTATATATATATATAGATTGCATCAAATGTATAATTGTAAACATACTGTACCAAACTGTATACATATGGATTGTATAATATATAAATATAGTACATCAAATTGTACAAATAGATATGTATATATAGATATATGGATTGTATAAATATATAAATTATAAAAGAATCATAGTATATCAAGTTGTATATATGTTTGGAAAATCATTGGATTGTAAATATCAAATATAGTATCATAAATATAGTATAGCAAATTGTATATATAGAGAGCTTATAAGGAACACAGGAATTTAATTTAATAAATATTAATTATTGAGCTGTGGAAAAGGGGTAGGATTAAATAAGTTTTATACTTCTTCCTACTCTTTCAGGCATATCAATTGAATATATGTAATTTTCTTTTTTGTGAAATAATTTGAACATTGTATTTTCGTGCTTTTCAGTTTGTTTTGTATTTTTTTTATATGTCTGAAATAAATTAAATCAATCAAACAAAGATGCTGGTTAGAATTTGAACAAGTTAATTTTTCAGTTGAAAGAAAATACCAGTATTTTTCATTAACCAATTTTCTAGTGATTTAAATGTTCCTTCGAGTTGAACAAAATGTATAAATATCCATACATGTCAGAGGAGTCATGTAATGAATAGAAATGTGGGTATGATTTATTTAAAAAAGTCTGGAGCTTCCTGAATAAACGGTGTGTATGCACTAAAGGGTCAAGTTTGCTGTGTTTCCCACACACATTAGAATGTATACAAATCAGCGTGATGTGAGAACGTGCAGAGCCTGCTGCAAACTCTAGACAAGCCGGGAAAATGTGCAGACCATCCTGCAAATAAATCAAAACATATTTCTTCACAGTTTGAGCTTTAATCTGGATAATGTTGGACATCAGAAAAGGGAAACACAATAAACTGGAAAGTCTGATCTATTTATGTGACATGACCATGTTAACACATCACTGTACAAACAGAGGCGCAAAGATATTCATGACAGAAAGGAAACGAGGCACACTCCCACCTCCTGGGCAAGCATGGTAGTAGCGGGATGCAGTGTGCTTTTAGCCTCAGGAGCTACAGACACTGAGCCAAATGCAGCAGTCCCTGTGATTCCACTACAGTGTGAGTGAGGACGCGACCAGACAGACGCCACTCAGCAGTTGAGGCCTGGGGCGCAACAAATACTCGACATTCGGGAGCACAAGGTTGGTTAGAGGTGGGTGATATGGGAAAAATATCAGTGATCCAGGGTGGCTTACTGGAGGTTATCGCTCCTGTCATTTTAAAATGTATGTATTTGATTTTTTGGTGAATCAGGGGTTAGTAACTGGCCCAGCAGCAATAACATTTGGCCCACATGATTTTTTATTTATTTTATTAACAAAAACAACGCCTGGACAATCATTGACACAAACATTCCTGCCAATGAGCGGTGAGCCTGCTTCGCTGCAGGAAGTAGTCAGTGCTTAATGCTGAAACAAGGCACCGTCATGGAAGCAACAGTTGAGTTTTTTAAAAACCTGTACAGTATGATTTAAATAAAAGTATATGACGAAAGAGAAAGAGAACATCCACACCTCTGCCAGTTTAGCCGATTTTACATGAAGTACCTAATATATTCTGTAGCTAATGTACAGGTTTAAAAAAAAAAAAAAAAAACGCATTGTCATGGTGATAACTGTTGCTTCCATGATGGTGCTTTATTTCAGCAACAGGCGCCGTGCATTGCTGCTGCTGCACTGTTCTGTAGCAAGAATGTTTGTTAGCTAGCAGTTGGCATTGTTTCCGTGTAAACATGAGGTGGGGTGAGGCGACTTCAAATGTGGTTGTGATGATTGCCTTTGTGGTTAGTTTGCTTTGATTTAATCTTGAATAACTGCTATTGATGTTCAGTTTCTAGTTTGACATATAAATCATAATGCTTTAGTTTGAAAGAAACATGTTTAAAAATTAATTTATTAAAAATACATAGTTTATAAATTCATACAACCCCAAATCTGAGCACCATATCCTCATCCTGGACTGACACGTTTTTTTAAGATACGAGACAGAAACTGATTCAGGCAACATAACCAATGTGACAGGAACAGTTATCTGCAGAGTTTGCTCATTTAAGGTTTGCACTTTGGACGGCGGCAAAAATAACCTTTTCAACAAGCTGGAGAGAAAAACAGTCTGCTCAGAGTCACAGAGCTCAGAGAGACAGTGATAGGAGATATAATCTCATTATTTAAACTAGTGCTCTCTCTCGGTTATTTACAAGTTACTAAAGACATTTTCACACATGCACTCCGGATAATATCTCGATATTTACAGGAGGACTTCTCAAGAGATTCTCCGGAACTAGTCGTTCACATATGCTCCTCACAGCGGGGGACTATCCCTGTCAGGGGGGGGGGAGACTATCCCTGTCAGGCGGGGGAGGGGGGCGTGGGGGAATTTCCTGAGGTAAGACTTAATAAATGAACAAGGTGGAAATAGCGGCCGTAGCAACAGAGTCCGCTACACGACGCTATAATGAGAATATTTGTCTTTATATCAATGCTATGTGTAATCCAATGGAATGACAACATCCACAAAAGAGAGGAGAACAACATACTGACGAACAGAAAACACAATGCAGCAGGTTCATTACGTGCACGGAGATCGTAGTGGTCGAGTGCAGACACTCTATTCACCGTGCAACAGACACAGAATATAACGTCACTCTCCCTCCTATTGGCTCGAGCTGAATCCTACAGGAGTATATCCTGCTGCGTTCTCACATTAACTCACTCCGACTTGCTGCAGATTAAATACTAGGGGTCTGGAGGAGAAATTTCAGGTCAAGTCCGAGTGAATAATTTGGTGGTTCGCGTTCACATATAGCCTAAAGTCCCTCTGGGTAATCTCCTTTTTCCAAATGTGTGAAAAGGGTTTAAGAAGCCTCTTCACTCAAAGCTCACATGTTGTGAGAACGGAAAGGAGAATGAAACGACTATGAGATGGAGGGTGGCGATGATAAAAGACTGTTGTTGTTAAAAAATAATTATATTTCTAATAGTACAATCATTGATTCCCATGCATGCTCTTGTAAGTGATGTCAGTCCGTAGCTCTTTCTCCTCTTGTTCAGTCTGTAGTAGGTCAGAGTAAGTAAGGTGTCTTTCAGTTAGAGGTTGCCTAGACTTTCTTGATTACGGTCATTTTGATGGAAAGGGTCGTAAAATTTCCATAATTTTCAATTCTTATATTTTTATGATAATAAGACATTGCCTATTTATGTATTAACTTTTTAATGTAGCATTTGATTATAGAAAGATGTCGATCACACGTTACATTTAATTTGCAGAACAATCTTAGGGGCAAAGTACTGTGCTTAAACAGGTTTCTTGTGTTGTAAATAAGCTTTCTTGCACCCTGTCGGTTTGGAAACATCTCAAACACTTCCATATAACCAGGAGGGGGTTATTTTACGGATTAACTTAAATTTTGTTTTCACAGGTGAATCCTGCTCCACTGCTGAGCAAAGGAGGAGGGGGAGACGTATCATCATGATAGAATGAACACTGTAGCATGATTCTACCATCTCTCTGCTTTGGCAGATCGTCAACACGTTCTAATCCTTTCAGAATCTAAAATAGTCTTATCCCACACCACTACTCAAAGTATCACATTTCTGGATTGAGGGAACAGTGGGTCCGTCTGCATCATACAAGTAATCTTTTAGGAACAAAATGCCGACATTTCAAACATGTTAAGTCAAATGAGTTTGAGATGTTTTCTTGATTTTTTTCCCAGGTTGTGAAAAGTATAAACTCTTCCCAGCAGTACTGCCATCCTCGTCAACACTCTGGTTACATCCCGCATTGACTACTGCAACTCCCTTCAACTTCAAAATTCTGCTCCTCACCTTCAAGGCCATCCACAACCTCACTCCGCGAGGAAGGATCAATAAATAAGGACAAAAAGCAAAATGGTAAAAGTGTGTGGTTAAATCATTACAAATACTAAATAACACAAAGCTGAATACCTGTCAAAAGCCTTGACCCTTCCGAGCAGTTTTTTGTTGTTTCGACAGTTGATGAGAACCTGAGTGTTGTTCTTCACAGACTGTGTAAGTACAGACAGGGGGCCAGTGTTGAACTCCTCTTCCTCTCTTTTCTGGAGCTCCTCCGGGGTCATCTCTGACTTGGGCTTTGTTAACAGACTCCTACAAAATGAAGCAAAAAAAATTTGATAAATTTTTTTAAATAAAAGAGTTAGTATGACCTCAAAGGCTTGATGGCATTAGTATGGTATACATACATTGTAAACGTCTCTACAGTCGGCCCATATGGGCTATAGAAATGTAAAAATTGACACAATATTGCTTCAGCCTTCCAAGATTTTCAAAACAATACAATTTCTGTTATTTTGATTATCATGTTGCATTTTAGACAATGTGCATAGGTTAGCTTATGATGTTTGGTCATTAAAACCTAGACTTATTCCAATATCAGGCATCCAGGACTTCTATTAATGATACTGTAGTCAGACAGGTATCTATATTGTTTAATACTTATTAGAATTGTATTGAAGTTAGAATTATAGTATCTTGATAACTCCCTGGCTTACTACACATTTTAAAACTGAATGTATACTTTAAGTTTAACTGAATTATAAAGATTTTTAAGTATTTCATTGCCTGTTCTTCTTGTTTGTGTTTAATATAATTGGTAGTGTGAAAACTTGCATAACTTCAACTGGTAATAAAGGATGTGTTAACAAAATGTATGAAGGCCTCTTCTTAAGACACTGTAGAAGACAATAATCTCTGAATGTATAAAAGCGTTCAAACGGGGGAAGACAATGAAAGTTACACAAATGAAACAGGTTACTCAAACATTAGATGAAGACAATAATGTGTGAATTTACAATAGTGTTAGAACGGGGAATACAAATGATGTATTTACACAAGACAGTTTAAGTTCTACAAATGAAACATTCATCTTTACACATGTTATTTTGTTCAACCATTTCAGTAGATAACGCTTCATGTTAGCATGTATCGTCTATGTGTGCTAATGTTCCAGCTCTAGCGCCTAACTTTACAATTTCGTCACAAAGTCGTTTATTAACCAAAGAGATATATTATTATAATTATTATAATTATTATTATTATTATTATGATATCATATTTCAAACACAGTCGGGCCTGAACTTATCTGGCGGCAAACAGCCCGACAAAGAGGTTTTCTAACTCTGGCTAACTGATTTGCTGGCGACGTTAGCATAGCAGCGGTCCCTGCTGTGATCTTGATATCCGTCTTGAAAAATTGTATGTTAAGTGCATTAAGACTGATAAATTGATACTTACATGGTGTATAAAACCAGTTTTCTGAGATTGCCTTCTTTCTTCAACGGTGGGTATCGTCCCTCGAACGATTCAGCGAGTCTCGTGGATCGACCTACTTCCGGTCCTTCTTCTTCTTCTGCGTCTTTTTTCTTCTTCTACTCCTTTTGGACTGACCGACTAGAGGCAACAGTGGCTTAATACTGCCCCCCACAGCCTGAAGTCGTCAATTATTTAGTCCTTATTTACACCGGCACAGTCCAGTGGAATGTAGAGATTCCAGCAGTGTTATTGTTTTCTCAGAGACTCCTTCATCTAGCAGAGTTGTTGAATGTTTCTCCCAGGTGTCTCTCTGTCGGGCCACACTGACACTTGCTGTCAGGATGTTTTTTGATCAGGGCCAGAATTGTTTTTTATTCACCTTTTCTTTTCTAAAAGCTGAACGTGTGGAGCGGGCAATGAGGGTGTGCAAGAAGATAGTCAGTGCTTTTTCTTATAGTTGAAAAAACAAATACATTAGTGAAGGTGCAACACATGGCAATGGTTAAAATGTATTATATTTAGGTTACAAGTAAGAGGTGCAAGTTATTTGTTTTAAAAATGTTGATTTTTACATAAAAGCTGAAATGTGAAATTTTCAATTCAACCTATGCTTTGATTCAAGTTTGAAATATTCAATAAAATAACAATTTTTATTTTGTCTGTGTTTCGAGTGTTTACTTATTTCTTCAAAATTACAAAGTTATGCATTCTTTCATCATGGCTTGCAGTTTGCAGATCCAAAAAGTTTGGTACGTCCATCGTACACTATAGGACCGTATCAGTTAACACATACACGCCATAAAAACAAACAATATGGCGTATCCCATGGCAAGACATTTCTACCAACATCACTTAAGCAATGAGACTCTCTTAAGAGCCGAAGGAATAGAGCATATCAAACCAACAAGAGGGGGTGACAGTGTTCATTGTGTTGGCAGGAGAGAGCACAAGTGCAGCAGGAAAGTCATCATTCAGTTTGTTTAACAAAAGTTCAGAAACGAGATTTGCAAGCTTTGGAAGATTTAACAAAAGAAGAAAGGGCTGCACTGGAGCTTCTGTGGCCAAGAATTAAAGAAGCAAGAGATCAAAACAAGAGCCTTCTTCTGAAGGTCCTTTGGCTTCATAAAAAACATTAGAATATTCCCGTAGAAGGTAAACTACACACAAGTTATGGATCATTAAAGTGGACAAATGAGAGTTCTGTTTAGAGGGTCCAAATAACATTTCTTTTTCTAAACAAGTTTAAGTTCCTTTAGAGATGTCTTATTGTTAACTTGTTCTATATATACAGAATAGTATGATTACAATATGTTCCAAGCTTTCTTTTATTTCATTAAATGTCAATGGGCTGAATGACAGTACAAAGAGAACATCTGTCAGCAGGCACAGTGTGTAAGAGAGTCATACCTGTAAAGAGAACTCGACCTTCTGGAGTAACCAATGCGGGGACACAATTTTGTTCATCCATGGATCGTAAAGGTGTGCTGGTGTTGCCATATGGTTAAACAACTGTCCAGGAAACATCATGAAGGTTAAAGGAGATACTGATGCCCACTGGATTGCTTTGATTCTTCTGAATGTTTATGGATATAATGGAGAATACAGAACAAATCTCAGATACTATTAGAGAACTGAAAGCAACATATCCAACCAATAATATTTTAGTTGGTGGGCAATTGTGTTCCTGATGAATGATTGGATAGACTTCCTATGAATTGTATAGACCATGAACTTAATCCAAATCTTTTGAATTTTTGCAGTGATTATTCCTTAATTCCTTAAGTAATTGGAGTTACTGTCATCCCAATGAAAGGCACTCATTATGCCAGAAACATAAATTTAATTTAGACAAAAATACTGGAAATGTAATGTCAAATGTCTTAATGATAAGCTGTACTGTAGTATGGTGTGGAAAATATTATCTATAGTTAATAAAAATGATGAAATTATTATTTTTTTAAATATAAAGTGAGAGTACTCTGTAGTACTATGGTAAAAGAATCAGTCAAAACCAAGAAGAATTATATATAAATGACATTAATGACTTCAGTAGAATATGTTTTCATTAGACACAAATAGAGAAGAACTGATAAGTTTTAAGTTTTTATTAGATCCCGAGCAAAATGGTTTTAAGTTGGTGAGAAAAATAGCTCTTATTTCAGTAGATAAGAAAAGACAAGACAGATAAAAATACAATTAATGTTCTAAATGTAGACAATACAACTGTAACCAACCCAAAATAAGTATATATATTTATATTATTACACAACTAGCAGATGATACAGTTTTGTTTTTAAAAAAATCTGACCAAATACTGAATGCTACGGAAGTGTATTGCATTCATGTGGGGATTTTTGTTGTGCTGCCTGGTGTCGTGTTATTACGAGATAAAGATCTCCAGTTTGCATACAGTAACAACAGATCCACAGACGATACCGTTTGCATCATGCAAATAGTCCTCAAACACCTGGAAAACCCCAACAGCTACATGGATGCTGCTTGTGGATTACAGCTCTGCATTCAACTCCAATCAACCCAATAAAAACAAACTGGTGTTACAGCCACACCACCTCTCCTGGGTTTGTGATTGACCCTTCATTTGAAGTGTGTGAGAGTGTGTGTGTTGATGGCCTGATTTCATTCACCTGCTGCCTGCTGGAAAAGCTTGATTGGAACACAGCTGCAGGAGGCATTTAAAGGACAGCCCTGCAGCCACACACCTTTGAGAACCTTGGTCAGCCAGCGGTCGGGGCGCAGCTCTGTTAGTTTTAAGTGCGACACTGTGCCTCTTGTTGTCTTTGTCTATGTTGTTAAATGTTAGAACTTCTTGTCTTCTGTGTAGTGAGGCTCTTGTTTTCTGTTTGACTGGGCAGGTGTTAGTATTTTTGTAGACACACACACACACACACACACACACTTCACATTAGGTTTGTATTTGTTTAGAAACATTAGGTTTAGGGGTGCTTTGAGGTTTTATTTTAATTTATCTCACTAACTAGACTTAGTATATCAAACACTTATTTAGAGTCCTTCTGTTTTACTATGTTTTTTAATTGAGCAGCACTTGGTGGCCGTTATCAGTTTCACCTTTTGTTGTGTATCACAACTTTCTTCTTTTGTAATAAATAACTTTAATTTACCAAAAACAACTGGTTTAATGTTGCTTCCTTTTCCTGGCATGTCAGGATCGGCCTCACTCCTGCTCCACTATCATTCTCAGCACCGGTGTCCCCAAAGGCTGCATTCTCAGTCCAGCCCTGTACTCTCTCTTCACACATGACTGCACTCCCTCCCACAATTCCAACACCCTCTTTGAATTCACAGATGACACAACCATAATGGAACTCATAACTAACAATAATGAAACTGCCTACAGGGAGGAGGTCCAGAAACTGACCACCTGGTGCAAGGACAACGACCTCCTCCAAGAAACGAAAGAAATCAGAATCAAATTCAGGAAAACAAAAAAACACACCACGATTGTCTGTGCATCAACAGGGAGGCGATGGAGAGATGTGCACATGGCTGAGGAGCTGACCTGGAGCCTGAACAGGACCATCATCAAGAGAGCCCAGCAGAGACTGTTCTTCCTGAGGACCCCTCACACCCCGCTAACCACCTCTTGCTTGGTGTGTGTTTCGTTTTTATTTTCTATATGCTGCCTCTTAGTCAGATGATTAGTCCTTTTAGTGCTATTTCAAAAACAATCATTTTTATGCCAATGATATACAGTTGAATTCATCTTTTACACCTAATCATTTTATTGTAATTTTCATGAGTTTTGTGATGCCATCAAGACATGGATTGCTGACAACTCCCTTCAGTTGAATGCTATAAGACTGAAACTCTTATTACCTGAATACGCCATTTCTAAGATTTAAGAGCATATGGGGTCTCTAAGTACTTCTACTTCTGTAATTTAGGATTCATTTTCCACCAGTACTGGTGCTTTAACAACCTGTCAGCCAGCTTGTGCGCTCTGCAATATGTTGTTTGTCTCACCTGTGTCTGTTTAGCTTTAGTGTTCCTTCTCTCTTGTTGTCAGTTCATACCTCTACCTGCCTGCGTTTATAGTCTTACCTTGTGACTCTGAGTTTTCTCCTTGTGGATTTTTTTGTTGGATTTTGAAGATCTTTGTTTCGTTTTGCCTTTTTTTAATTCAATATTTTGGTTTTCTGCCATTGGGTTCACCTCTTTGTTTTTCTTAATAAACCAAACATCTACATGGTCTATCAACCCAATGCTGAGTTCCTCCCTTACAATTCTTATCGGCCTCTCAGGTCTTCTGAACAAAAACTATTGGCTGTTCCCGTACCCGCTTAAAACCCAGAGGTGGCCATGCTTTCCAAGCTGCTGCTCACTGTCTCTGAAATGCTCTTGTCTCTGCAGTCCCTATATTCCTGTGACACCTTCATGACACAGCTGAAAAACGTTTCAATTCAGACAATCATTTGGTTAGCTTATTTGCACTACTGTTATATTTACAAACTCATTTGTTTTATTGTTGCAGTGCTTTTACCTGTCAGCCCTGTGCTTTTTTAATTGTTATTCCTACTTCATTTTGTTGAATTGTGTACTTGCAGACAATCTACAAATAAACTTTACTTACTTACTTTCCTGTCTGCTGAGTCCTTTGTATGTTTCATGTATTATTATACACTCACCGTGTTCACACGGTGTACACACCCTTTATATGTGTAAATCAATTTATTGCCTGAGTATCATCACATATGATGATTTTGTACAAATACATTCATAATGTGTCAGGGAACAACCCGGTATCATGCCAAAGCGTGTAATAGACACGTTGGTCCACTAGAGGATGCGTGTCAGTGTCACGCATTGCCTGTCTTCAGCGTCAAATGTACACGCCTGTGATCTGTGCCGTACCAGCAGGGGGCGATAATTTACTCAATGTCAACATTTACTCAATGTCAACATTGCACTTCTGGTGAGATGCCAAACCTCATTTCGTTACTCTATACTTGTATATGTGTAATGACAATAAAGTTGAATCTCATCTCATCTCATCTCATCCATCGCGGACAAAAGAGAAGTGTTTCAGTGTATTCCAAACCTCCTTCCTGTCAGGTAAGAGTAATTACC